CGCGGGCGGCCCCGGTTGCGGGGGGCAGGGATCTGCGCCATGGATCTGCCGGGATTTTCTCTCTCTGTGCCCCTAATTGCCTGCCCGGAGCCTCCTCCCGCTTGCTGTCTGGCCTGCTCGCTGTCCCCAGCACTGCTGCTCCGGAACAGCTGCCAGGCTGGGGGCGCCGCATTCCCGTTTCCCAGGCGCCAGGTCACCCCACCCCACAAGCCCGTTCCGCCTCCCTCTTGCATATTCGGGGACACGACACACCAGCTACGGCCGCAAGGCCAGCCCTGCCCCTGGCTCCCCCGGCCCTTCTCGGCCCCGCACCCCCTCGCCAAGGCTCAACAGCAGAAGGGCGGGGAGGCGCTGCGGGCTGCCCCGCACAGCCCGGGGCCCGGCCGGCTCCCGCCCGGTGCTGAGCACGGAAATCAGCTGACTTGCGGCCCCACGTTTGTTACAAAAAGATAAAGTTTATTTCTCTTTTTTCCCCCTCCTCTTCTCTCTGTCTCTCTCGTCACTTTCAGTCACCAAAAAACAAAAAACAAAAATTTAAAAAATCTAAATGTCGCCATCTAAGCATTTATTGTACTGAATCCGAACAGACACTGCAGGGCGCGGGGGCACAGATCATGGCGGTTGCTTTCTTGCTTTCTTTTCTTTTCTTTTCTTTTCTTTTTTTAAACTAAGGTACCGAAGTGATTGGTTTTGGACAACAGATAATAAATAGGGTGTCTGGCTCGGCGCGCAGTCCGCCCGAGGCCCGCGACTCCGAGCTCGGGCCACGCCGCCGGCCCGGAGCGCCGCGGGGGGGGCAGCGCACAGTCCTCCGGGCCCGCTGGCCTCCGGCCGGGCCGTGCGGGGAGGGGCAGGCCGGGGACCGCTCTGTCCTCAGTCTGTGGCCGGCCCTGCCCGGCTGGCTGTCTCGCAGTCCGAGCGCTAAGTCCCGCGTCTCCCGCCTGGCAAGAAGGTCTCGAGGTTCGGGTCGGGGGTGGGTTTGTTTCACTTACTGCAGCAGCTCTGGGGTCATGGCTCTCAGAGTCCCTGCTCTGGTGCACTCGCCTCCTGGGTGGCTCCGGGGCTCGCTACTCGCCCCCTGGGTCGCTCCGTTCCTCCTCCGTGCGGCCGGGTCGGTTGCGGGGAGGCTGCGGGGCCGCTGGCTGGCACGGCCACGCTCTCACCGCGGGTGCGGGGTGCCCGGCAGCGGGTTGGCCAGGGGGTTGAGCGCCGGCTGCCCGCCAGGCCCCAGCCCGTGGATGAGCACCCGGGGCACCAGGGGTCTCTGGAGCTGGGGGTGCGGCGCGGGGGGAGTCCGGTACATGCTGCTGTACATGGCCGCGGCAGCTGCGGCCGCCGTCGTGCTGTCCATGCTGCCCAGCAGGCTCGGGTGGTAGAAATAGGGAGAGGGGAACATCCTCTGCAAGGCGGAGTAGTTCCCGGCCTCGGCCAGCAGCTCCAGGCCCACCGCCGTCTGCCGCTTCCACTTCGTCCTGCAAGAGAGAGCACGCGGCGGCTAGGGGCAGCAGGGCGGCCCCGCCGGCCACACGAGCCCCTTGCCCCGGGCCTGCCCGCCGCCACCTCCGCGCGGACTTCGCAGGGGGCTGCTTTCCTCCCGGGCCGACAGTTCAGCGCGAAACATCCCTCCCCGCTCCCAGCCGCCGGCAGCAAGGGCCAGGCCGGGACAGCGGTCCCCGCGGCCGAGGCAGGCGCGGCGCCCAGGTGCGGCCAGAGCTCGCCGGCGATCCCG